ATACAACAAACGTTCTCGAATAACCAAAGCACTTTCTTGGTTTGAAATACTGTATTCTCCCTATGAACGTCAATGCAGCAGATTCACAAACGCGTTTCGAATATTTCTTCGATCAGTTATGGTCATTAAAGGCTGCCTCAACGGATACTAAATCATGGTTTAAAATAAGATCTGTTGGCCGGGAACATCAATATATATGACCCCCCCCCTCAACAGTGGAGCCTTCTACGTGATAGTCACGTAAAAGCCTTAGGAGAGTTCAGACACACAAAGTTATCATCATATTAAAACCCGATAAAGGATCTGGAGTTGTCGTTCGGGAAGAGGCAGCCAAATTTCGAAAATGCATCAAGGAAAACACTTTGACAAGCCTAGAATCATCTCACAAGATTTACAACTACTATTTGAGGATGGATTTACGGATGAGTTCATCGCGGAAACCAAATAACCCAACTCTACGTTCTGCCAAGTTCAGGAAACCCGGAATCTCCTTCAGACGCATTTCATCCATGAATAACTGTCCACAGCCCGTTGGTTGTTCACGAAAATACTGGCGCAGTACAGTATTGAAGATAGCTTCAAATCAGTCGAGTCACTGGACAACACGGATATTAAGGGCCGATATGCATGTAACATAGATGTGACATCACTGTTCACAAACGTGTCATTGCACGAAGCAGTCGAATTCATTCGTGATTGTACATACCAACAAAACATCAGAGTGAAAATCCCAGCGATGAAGCATCTCACCCTGAGATGCACTAGAAACATGTTTCGAATTCCATTTCGCCTGTTCGCCGAGCTCGGCAATTTGTTTGCAAACATTTCATCACCAGCCGAGGNCCTCGGCTGGTGATGAAATGTTTGCAAACAAATTGCCAAGCTCGGCGAACAGGCGAAATGGAATTCAGTTCACCCGAGCTACGAGAACCGATTTTCAACATTTTGTCAACATGTTTCGAATTTCAAGGCAGTAATTTTTGCCAGGGTGACGGTGTTGTAATCACCAAATTTGAAAAGAACTCTGTCAACCGGCTCCACAAACTCAATGCGGTTCACAGAAATATCAAGCCTTCCATTGAGCACGAACGTGACAACAGCATCACATTTCTGGATTTGCTGATGACCAGACGTCAAAAGACGATATGGCCCTGTACACGTGCCTGAAATGCAAGGTTGTTTTGCAGCTGCCGTTCAAAGACGAGATGATATAGCCGAGCTGTTTGCAAGCCGCTTCAAATCGGCAGTCAAACAGTCATACGATGCCGTCGATCCTGTCCTATTTCGCACATGCTGACAACAACCCGTCTCCCGCCCCATATATCAAGCAGCCGGTAGTCGTTCATGACAAGTAATACATAAGCATATTTACGTGTTGAGACTGACCACCTACCTATGCCGAACTGAACGGTAAATTTGAATGAGAGTGACGGAACATAACTCATTGTGGACGGACACTTTTGTCAACCAATGGGTAACCGATCAGAGGTCACCGAAATTACAGCAACCAGCCTCTTCCATAGTACGTCATTTGCATGAGACAAAGCATCGGTTGGACCGAACTACCGAGCTCTCCATGATCCTCTCCAACACCAATCCGCTGCAGCGATTGTGATGCAAAAATGGAGGCCTATTTACTGTAAGCGAAAGGAGATATTCGTTCCCTTGCCGTTGCCTTAGTAATATCCATGACACTTGTGTAGTTATTACCGGTTATTTTTATCAATATATAGTGATCATGAATATTATATAATCTGTGGTATGCACCTGACGAGATACAGCGAAATACATCCGGATACAAATTAAACCACGTAAACCTATTGTATTCTCTATTTAAGTTCATTACGGGAAAAATTGCTTCAACCTAGAAGTATGCCGCCCTCGAGCAAATCATGGAACAGTTTCATTTTATAAAGACTACCGGACCGTGATTTGTTTGGCTCACAGTCTGGAATCGGACATGGTATATATATAAATATATATAGCACTTACAGAAAGGAACAAATTAAAGTGCGAATTGTGCGCAGTGATTTTGGATCACACTACTAGCCACAAGCACACACATAGATGCAATGCAATAAGAACGTTGAGAATCTGATCACAGACTCGTTTGGAAAAGCTAACCGCCAGAATGTGCTTCAAGCAACCCAAACATATTATCCACCTGCATTCAACTCATCTCCATCAAATACATGGAGTACCATTCGCAGCACTCAGATGGCATGAAGTGATTCAATGATCACTCTGAAAGGACGATGGAAGGATCATCTCCCAAATGAAGCGGTCAGAAATCGGTGTTTGAATCGTATATGGCAGTGGACGCTGATACAACAGAGGCGAGTACAAGGGTTTGACCACATAATCCACAAGTATGATGAAAACCTGACCAAAGCTGCCTTGGCATCGCCTCTGTTCCCGAACTGGCGTTGTGGACACGGTGGGCAGCTGAAAACCTGTTAGGAAAATGAACTATATCTTCCCGTCTTAAGGATTGTAAAGCCCGTAAAATTATTTCATCGGTGAATAACAGTCGGTAGGAACGCAGACTGTCTTTCTATATTCAGATCACAAGACAGCAGCCACCAGAATGCTTGATGAGTGGTTGTCCATTTTGACGGACCTGAACGCAGTAATACGGAATGATAGGGGAAGAAACAAACCGAGCTGAGATGAACACAAATTGGCTTCCTATGGAACAATGAAACCTAACTTGGAAAAATTTAACACAGATAATTGCACCAAATGGCAACTCACATCAGCCCCGTTTAGTAGGAGGAATTCACAGGCCGCCAGTGACCCACTGCGCACGGTGAGAATTAAAGGTGGCTGCGCAGACGAACCATCATTGCCACTGGTGTCATGAGCACCACTCATGGTGCTTGCATGATTGACTGAGTCGAGTCGGGATGAAGAAGCGAAATCTCCATCTGGATGGGCACCACCGGCCAGACCCACAAGCATGAGAGGCGGACAGCCGAGACGAGCCCCGGTAGTGAGCAAACGTCTGGCCAGTAGATCACGTCGCTTTTGTTCTGCGCGTAACAGAGTGGCCGAACGCTGAGCGCCACGAAGTGTGCCCTTCAAATTCAGTTGCTCCCGTTGATTACGTTCTTGTTCCACAATTTGTTCGAATGTCTGACAAAGATCGTCTGAGTAGAGTGGACAGAGGAAGAGATGCGCGGACATGCTAAAGCGACACAACTACCACAGCACTTGTACAGACCAATGAATAAAACAGACAAGAAGGTTTAGAAATATCTCGGTCACAAGAGTTTATCGACCGATTAGGCATGAAAATCACCGTGCATGAGGACAGTTGGGTCGGGCTACCAAGGCTGCATTAAACATTTATGTTCTTCATGAGATGAATTATCTTAAATATTGCCGCTATACCTTCCGTTGACAAAGCTACAAAACGAATTTCTTTCGTTCAATAAATTCCAGTTATGGCAAACAGTAAGCGTTGGCGATTAGATTGAGTTGGGAATATAAACATGCA